TCATTTATCTTTTGATTAATAACTTGAAATGCAATCAACTTCTTCTTTTCACTGAAGATTGTCCGAATCACAATTCGATTAAATCATATCAAGGCGTAACAACATCAAATACAACGTGTATTTGGTGTGAAAAACCCAATATATGCATTACCAGCAATGATAAGGTTGTCAATGACTTCAAAGTAAATGGTTGCAGGAAAGAAGTAAGCAATTGGTAGACTTCAAAAATTGTTCTTAATTTTACGATATCCCAAATTGCAATCATTTTTTGGAAGATCATTTGTATTGTTACGAATTAGTAGTGTTTACTATTGTACCCTAAGTGCATTATTCTAAGTAACTTGTACGATATTGAAGCACATATGAATGCAATACTCTATTTCCATGTGGACATTCAACAATGAATTGAAAAGTTGTTAAACACTAATGCCTGGAAAGATGTTAATTCTTTAGCTCATAGAATGTGTAGTGATTCCCGATGTTCATTATGAAACCGTATATCTACGTGAACTGTTGTAGAATACAGATGAAATCAGTTTGAATGATGAAGTGTAATCTGTTGAAAATTGTGTAGCATGTTCGGATAATAAGTGAAAGTTCGCAGTCCCATTGTTGAAGTACAGAACAAGTATTTCTGATTCATTGTTGAGAAATGTATACCCTGAATGAATTGCTTCAATAAAGCCGTCAGTCATAAGTTTGTTGAATAATGTATAGATTGTGATACAATGTGACATCCAGCATGCAACAATATTCATCATTCAAACAAAAGTCGTCAGTTAGATGTTGGATAATGTGTACAAATCACATTGATTGTAAAATCGATAGCAGATATTCTAAATCATTATTCATTGATCATAATGTGCAAATGTAAATTATGTAACTAATTGTTGAATTCACTTGTGTCATCAATACTGACAATGGTGTATAATGAATGATGAAATATTTGATATTTAATTATATTTCCACTGTTTCTTTCTTCTGAAGAGCTCGATTGTCGATGTTTTCACTGAACCAACTGAACCAACAACTGAACCAACAACCGAACCAACAACTGAACCAACAACTGAAACAACAACTGAACCAACAACTGAACCAACAACCGAACCAACAACTGAACGAACAACTGAACCAGTAACCGAACCAACAACTGAACCAACAACTGAAACAACAACCGAACCAACAACTGAACTAACAATCGAACCAACAACTGAAGCAACAACCGAACCAACAACTGAAACAACAACTGAACCAACAACTGAACCAACAACTGAACCAACAACTGAACCAACAACCGAACCAACAACTGAACCAACAACTGAACCAACAACTGAACCAACAACCGAACCAACAACTGAACCAACAACTGAAACAACAACTGAACCAACAACTGAACCAACAACCGAACCAACAACTGAACGAACAACTGAACCAGCAACCGAACCAACAACCGAACCAACAACTGAACTAACAACCGAACCAACAACTGAACCAACAACCGAACCAACAACTGAAACAACAACCGAACCAACAACTGAAACAACAACTGAACCATCAACTGATCCAACAACTGAAACAACAACTGAACCAACAACTGAACCAACAACCGAACCAACAACCGAACCAACAACTGAAACAACAACTGAACCAACAACTGAACCAACAACCGAACCAACAACTGAACGAACAAGTGAACCAGCAACTGAACCAGCAACTACTGAAAGTGATTTAAGAAATGAATTGAAGGAGACTAGCCCAAACACTGAATCATATTTGGTAAATATTTGATACTTTTTAATCATTATACTATTTCGTTCATTTCAGAACATGACCACAGATACAACTGTAGACATTGAGAAAAGAAAATCACTGCAATACGTGTACATCGTTGTACCATTAGTTATATGTTTCCTTATTTTATGCATTGCCTGTGGCATTTGGCTATGATTCTACAGAAGGAAGGGAGTTTATCCATAGTCCTCACAATGAGCTTGTCGATCGTTTTCATCAAGTTGACTTTGATATATTTTCATTTTGTATTTTATGAAATACACTTTCTGTTTTGTTAATCATTTACATACATTAAAGATGGTTTCATGGAACTGAATATTACATCGATGATTGTTTATGTAATGACTGATGTCACTTTTTTTGTTAGAATGTAAAAATATAATCTTTTTGTATTTATGTCATTACTTTTATTCGATGAAAACGTGGGTAATTTCACAAGAGTCTACAACATTGCACTTGTCAATTAACAGTATCGTGTATACATGATTATGTGACCATTGAAATCCAAAATGAATCCGTAGTAAATGTTCATTTTGTTAAAGTCTCAATACTGAGAAATGTCAATGGAAATTGTTGTCGTTCATTGATTTAAACTGAACTGTTGGAATGCGGCATCAATATTTATCAAGGCACATTAATCATCCGTTATTTGACTATTCACTGTTGAGTGGAAGCTGGTTGACAGACTGTTGTTAATTAGGTGTTATGAATGTGTTGAATATGAAATAATCTTAAAGGGTCTAGCTGATACTCAAGTAGGAATGACAAAAAGATTAAGAGTGAATAATGAACTTGTAACAGTTCTGTCGTAGCATTGTTAATAAGACGAGATATTTGAAAAAATGAAAACACTGAAGTGTTTGCGTCAATGATTGATCAACTTATTAAACATAACTTGGCTAATAACCGATCCTATTCTCATGGATGTATGAGGAAATAGTCGACAAAAAATCATTTGCATTAGGTGTTCGAATGTTCTTGTTCAATGTAATATACATTAGGGTGAACACAGACATGATAAATATTTACCTGTGGCAGTCTGCACTCCCAAATGTCATGCTTGAAACGTGACAAAAGTTGACAGATTATAATAATATGTTAAAATACTGTTCATTTCGTTAATAATGATTGCAAATACGGTTATTAAACTTAAAAACGATGGGAGCTCTAGGTGATAATAATCCACATCTAATCATAATGTTCAAGGTTTCATTTCCATATAAATGGGCAATTACATACCTCTTTTGGTTCGTTCCATAATTCGATTGTTGGCAAACGTAGTACAGTTTCGTTATTTTAGACAAAGATTGGACTTTACAAAATCACAAAGTGAACGTATAACGTATATATATAAACGTACGTACTGATCAGGAATGGATGAAAAGTGGAATGCTTGTGGAATATGAAATTCTTGGGGGTATGTCAAACGTTATTTTATCAGAGTTGACCATTTTCACACTTCGATGCATCACTTTTGTTTCATAAAACTGGAAATTTCATGTATGATTTCAGACAGTTATTAAATGATATCAAGCCATCAGTCTCAACTGACGTTACACTAAACGACGATTCACTGTTGCATATTTAAAATGACTACAGACACATTTTGAAGTACAATAGAAGTCCTCAGTTTGATGAAATTCAGTTAAACAAAATATCGCAGGACGATGGATGAGATGATATCAGTCTGAATATTGCCAAATAGTTTGAAACTTTCTATCATTGTAGGTTGATGGAAATCTATTTACGGAAAATCTCAAGAATGAATTGAGTATCAATGTCACTCTTCCTTTGTTGTTTGATTAAATTACCATAATAGAAAATAAATTTTCTCTCTGAGTACAACTGATGTTCATGCACCGGCTTCTAAATAGTCAGTTAGAGTGAAATAACAATGTTATTCTCCATTCTGCAAATGCAAAGATGGTATACACGAAATATTTCAATCATAAAGCACGAAAGCGATCCGTTAACCGTCTAGCGTGTACATTTCTTTTCCAATATTAACAGTCATTGACATCCGTGACATTCGCCTGACAAATTTCATCGCTCAATATGCAACGTAATTTTATTCAATTCCAACACGTTTTCGGGAAACGTGAATAACATTGAAAGTGTATTGAATTTTAGATTGAGCAATCTGATGACAAGTGCTCAGAGTATGAAATACTCATTTAAATCTGAAATCGTCATCATTGAGTAACAGTTACATGTTTTGTAATTCATTTATCTTTTGATTAATAACTTGAAATGCAATCAACTTCTTCTTTTCACTGAAGATTGTCCGAATCACAATTCGATTAAATCATGTCAAGGCGTAACAACATCAAATACAACGTGTATTTGGTGTGAAAAACCCAATATATGCATTACCAGCAATGATAAGGTTGTCCATGACTTCAAAGTAAATGGTTGCAGGAAAGAAGTAAGCAATTGGTAGACTTCAAAAATTGTTCTTAATTTTACGATATCCCAAATTGCAATCATTTTTTGGAAGATCATTTGTATTGTTACGAATTAGTAGTGTTTACTATTGTACCCTAAGTGCATTATTCTAAGTAACTTGTACGATATTGAAGCACATATGAATGCAATACTCTATTTCCATGTGGACATTCAACAATGAATTGAAAAGTTGTTAAACACTAATGCCTGGAAAGATGTTAATTCTTTAGCTCATAGAATGTGTAGTGATTCCCGATGTTCATTATGAAACCGTATATCTACGTGAACTGTTGTAGAATACAGATGAAATCAGTTTGAATGATGAAGTGTAATCTGTTGAAAATTGTGTAGCATGTTCGGATAATAAGTGAAAGTTCGCAGTCCCATTGTTGAAGTACAGAACAAGTATTTCTGATTCATTGTTGAGAAATGTATACCCTGAATGAATTGCTTCAATAAAGCCGTCAGTCATAAGTTTGTTGAATAATGTATAGATTGTGATACAATGTGACATCCAGCATGCAACAATATTCATCATTCAAACAAAAGTCGTCAGTTAGATGTTGGATAATGTGTACAAATCACATTGATTGTAAAATCGATAGCAGATATTCTAAATCATTATTCATTGATCATAATGTGCAAATGTAAATTATGTAACTAATTGTTGAATTCACTTGTGTCATCAATACTGACAATGGTGTATAATGAATGATGAAATATTTGATATTTAATTATATTTCCACTGTTTCTTTCTTCTGAAGAGCTCGATTGTCGATGTTTTCACTGAACCAACTGAACCAACAACTGAACCAACAACCGAACCAACAACTGAACCAACAACTGAAACAACAACTGAACCAACAACTGAACCAACAACCGAACCAACAACTGAACGAACAACTGAACCAGCAACCGAATCAACAACTGAACCAACAACTGAAACAACAACCGAACCAACAACTGAACTAACAATCGAACCAACAACTGAAGCAACAACCGAACCAACAACTGAAACAACAACTGAACCAACAACTGAACCAACAACTGAACCAACAACTGAACCAACAACCGAACCAACAACTGAACCAACAACTGAACCAACAACTGAACCAACAACCGAACCAACAACTGAACCAACAACTGAAACAACAACTGAACCAACAACTGAACCAACAACCGAACCAACAACTGAACGAACAACTGAACCAGCAACCGAACCAACAACTGAACCAACAACTGAAACAACAACCGAACCAACAACTGAACTAACAACCGAACCAACAACTGAACCAACAACCGAACCAACAACTGAAACAACAACTGAACCATCAACTGATCCAACAACTGAAACAACAACTGAACCAACAACTGAACCAACAACCGAACCAACAACCGAACCAACAACTGAAACAACAACTGAACCAACAACTGAACCAACAACCGAACCAACAACTGAACGAACAAGTGAACCAGCAACTGAACCAGCAACTACTGAAAGTGATTTAAGAAATGAATTGAAGGAGACTAGCCCAAACACTGAATCATATTTGGTAAATATTTGATACTTTTTAATCATTATACTATTTCGTTCATTTCAGAACATGACCACAGATACAACTGTAGACATTGAGAAAAGAAAATCACTGCAATACGTGTACATCGTTGTACCATTAGTTATATGTTTCCTTATTTTATGCATTGCCTGTGGCATTTGGCTATGATTCTACAGAAAAAAGGGAGTTTATCCATAGTCCTCACAATGAGCTTGTCGATCGTTTTCATCAAGTTGACTTTGATATATTTTCATTTTGTATTTTATGAAATACACTTTCTGTTTTGTTAATCATTTACATACATTAAAGATGGTTTCATGGAACTGAATATTACATCGATGATTGTTTATGTAATGACTGATGTCACTTTTTTTGTTAGAATGTAAAAATATAATCTTTTTGTATTTATGTCATTACTTTTATTCGATGAAAACGTGGGTAATTTCACAAGAGTCTACAACATTGCACTTGTCAATTAACAGTATCGTGTATACATGATTATGTGACCATTGAAATCCAAAATGAATCCGTAGTAAATGTTCATTTTGTTAAAGTCTCAATACTGAGAAATGTCAATGGAAATTGTTGTCGTTCATTGATTTAAACTGAACTGTTGGAATGCGGCATCAATATTTATCAAGGCACATTAATCATCCGTTATTTGACTATTCACTGTTGAGTGGAAGCTGGTTGACAGACTGTTGTTAATTAGGTGTTATGAATGTGTTGAATATGAAATAATCTTAAAGGGTCTAGCTGATACTCAAGTAGGAATGACAAAAAGATTAAGAGTGAATAATGAACTTGTAACAGTTCTGTCGTAGCATTGTTAATAAGACGAGATATTTGAAAAAATGAAAACACTGAAGTGTTTGCGTCAATGATTGATCAACTTATTAAACATAACTTGGCTAATAACCGATCCTATTCTCATGGATGTATGAGGAAATAGTCGACAAAAAATCATTTGCATTAGGTGTTCGAATGTTCTTGTTCAATGTAATATACATTAGGGTGAACACAGACATGATAAATATTTACCTGTGGCAGTCTGCACTCCCAAATGTCATGCTTGAAACGTGACAAAAGTTGACAGATTATAATAATATGTTAAAATACTGTTCATTTCGTTAATAATGATTGCAAATACGGTTATTAAACTTAAAAACGATGGGAGCTCTAGGTGATAATAATCCACATCTAATCATAATGTTCAAGGTTTCATTTCCATATAAATGGGCAATTACATACCTCTTTTGGTTCGTTCCATAATTCGATTGTTGGCAAACGTAGTACAGTTTCGTTATTTTAGACAAAGATTGGACTTTACAAAATCACAAAGTGAACCTGCCTTCAATAGCTTTCAAAGAAGATTGCGATGCTTTGATTAAACATTTCATGGCTGATTGCGTTAAGTGCTGTGAATGGATAAGAATTCATTCGTCAACGCCGAATTCACATTTGTTGAAACTAACACACACCACAAGTGATGCTGGGAATATTTTAGTGAAGCTCATTATTCTAAAATGTGCAGTGAGGCCGATTTGAAGTACGTCATTTTTCGGATTCTTCTGGATAGACGTTTATTAGATTTTACAACAACTATCAATCTTCGTGATCTATTCACGTAAAATTCCCGTCCATTTGGTTTAAGTTATTCTACAGCCATATTTCATGAAGTGGTCCATAGTGTAGTCGGTGATCTTAAAAGTGTTGACATTTGTCAGGATGATCTCAATCTTTATGGTTTTCATAAAATATCTCACAGTCTGCGACATACTACTTTCTTCGTAGTCTGCTTGAGAAAACATTGTCGTCAAGTCAAATGAAGGTTCATTTCATGTGTTTGGTATTGAACCTCTTGGATATTAGGCTGATATTAATGATTTTAGACCAGATATAAGGCGATAAGCTTCATTTACATTTTCATCATCTCTACAAACCTCTACACAATTATGTTAACTAGCAGGTGCTCTTCATTATTATTCGCTATTTATTTCTGATTTTCTTTATCGTACAAACTCTCTTCGTTGATACTTGAGATATGTAATATGGACTATCACCACAGTTTGAAATTGTGCTGTGAAACGTTGATTTCCGGTATGCTTTGCCAGGATCGATGGGTTACTCACCATACATGATGTAATCTGACTAATAAAAGATGCTGATCCTTAGAGTTTTTAGACTTTTCTCCCATTAAGTGTTTTATATTAAAGGTTTCCCTGCAATATCAGGATTGGAGTTTAGGGATGAGCGAGCAGCAACAATAATGAAAAAACGAGGTAAACTTCATTCAGCATTCATTGGAAAACTTTATTCAATTTTATCTTGCACTCGATTTTACAAAATGTTTGCAACAACTGAGAAATGTGCATGTTCCTCTATCTTTCATATCACTCAAGTTTATAGATGTCTATATCACAGAATTTATTTGGTCATTCACTTCTTCACAATCAACATGTAGATCATCATCGTTTCGTTATCTGCATCGATGATCATTGTTTACTCGAGTTGGGTGGGAATTTTGTGAACTTCTATCCCAAATCGAAGTCACATCTTCCTGTCAATTGGTATCGTGGACCAGTCTTTGGCGATATCTGGGCACTGTGGCTGTAGTGAGTGAGAACTCAGGTGCGAATGACCAGTTAATTGTTAGTTGCACAATCACAGACTGTTTTCATAAAATACAAAAACCACACATGCCACACTTCGCTTGTATGTCTTCCGTCAGTTGAATCTTACTGACTTCATTTGTCTTTCATTCCAGATGAGTTCAACTGTGTTCAGTGTGAGGCAGTTAACTACCCAAAACAATAGTAGATGGTCGCACAATGTCGTGAATTGGTTGAAGTTAGACGTGAACACCGTAGGATGCTACTCAGTGGCAAGAGATTAAACGTTCGCGAAAAACTCAATGACATATATTCGATTTCTGCTTTCATGATTCTCTATAGGTACTCCAATGGGGTCTCGTAATACAACAAACAGGCTGCTGAGTGATTCCGGATATTTAATACAGTTCCAACATTTATCAGTCCATGATTTCAATCAAAAATCATATATCCTGGAATTCATCTAGTTTCATTAACAAAACATCACACATTGTGTTTATTGTACTCATTTTTACAGACTATGTGAAGAATTAAAAATTTTGTTTCGTGATGACTCTTACGGTGATATTTCGGTTTGAATTTTCATTCATACCACTGACTGTGAAATATTTCATCTATAAATACTGTGGAAATATTTCCATAGTATGTTACTCCTGAAGTTCACATTGTGTTCTCGATAACAACTTTGCATCGTTATTCGAAAAGCTGTCAAGTAAAAAACAATAACAATTCGTTGAACGTTCAGTATTAAGTCAGGCATCATTGAACGCTAACATCAGCCTATTCAATCCGTTTTTTTCAAGAAAATCGTTTCACAAACACGTTTCTAAACTGATGAATTTTGCTGTTAACACTTCTCTTTAACTAATGTTGATTTTAAAAAGAATAATTCGTTTACACAATATTTGTCACTGATGTTTTGAATGGAATAACACCTCCTGTAAGATCCAGTTTTAACTTTTGTGTGTGTGTGTGAAAATCCTTTCATGTATACATTTGTAGTTTGTTCCTATCGTTGTTCTTTTACTTGTACATTTTGTTATTCTCTTTGATTCCATTCGAGTTGGTCATATTTGTATTTTATTAGTCTTTATTTTTCTCACAGCTTCACTAAGTTTCCGTGCTTCTTCCTGAACTGCATTTATGTTGTGCTTACTTGATACCTAGTCCTGGCAGCAGCCAAATTGGTTTGTTCCTCATTTTGATTGTGTTACCTGCATGGGCTTGAATTGTACATTTTTGATAGTCAATTGAGGCACTCGTCCAGAATTGGAAACACTCTGCGTTATAAAGCGATGAAATAGTATCTTCAGAACGAATCACTGCGTGATCCATCCAAACAGGATGGAATAACATTAATTTGTTGCGATCGGTATTTTTCTGTCATCTTTTATCAACTTCCGTATTTATTATAATTTACATTTGATTCATTGAACAATTATTGGCTGAATAGCTGAGTGGTCATATTTGTTTAGGTAATAGGGTATGTTTAAATTTATAATGAATTTCAGAACCGTCATTTTACCCGATCACTTTGTTTTGGTTTCATCCAGGCAAGGGCACTTATCTAACTCACTAAGATAGTAATTCTTCAGTCCAATCCTCAGTTTGCATCTAACACCTCCAAGAATTCGTACGTTAATTAAAATGAAGTATCTTTCAAATTATTAAAACAAAATTTATTTACCAGAAAATTAACGGAGTTATAGAAGGTTTTTAACGTCATTCAGTTTTCCTGTACATTAAATGTCCCATGAGATTGCAGTAATTTTAACATTGAGATTCATGAGTATTATACTAAACGGCCGTCCGTTGCTTCTAGTTTTTAATGGTGGCCTAGCCCAGATTGATAAATGGATTCAAGCATTGTCGAATTCAACATAGCAGTTTAATTCCCTATCACCAAAGGGACGAACAGCATGTTTTATGATATGCAAATCATCCAGTATATGTTAATCTACCAGGAGTGTGACAAAACAGGAATAATAATAATAATTATTATTATTATTAGCTTTATTCAATATTACATTTTTGGTACAATATAGAAATTTCAGCGTAAAGTATTTCAACAAGTTTCCGTTTCTCTCTTTTTGGTCGGTCCTGGCGATAAATATTGAGTGATCGCCAGTTAGATGTTAAAAGTCCAGTAACTGAACATCTGAATAATGTGCATTCTTTTTGCTGTATATTGCCAGCAATCACATTGTCTCTTATTGAGTTTTTTGTAACTTTGACAACGAAAGGTTGTACACTTTTCAGAAACGCAGGAGAATAGATTATGCGATTAATAGACATAAGGATACATTGAAACAAACAAAAATAGATAACTTGTTGAAATATCTAGATGGCAGGAACAGGTAGCCCAAATGCTCAAGCAGGCCGCCCTTGAGGATTTAA